CACAAACTGTTCTATGCTCCATCGCCTCGTTTGCCTCAGACTGCTGTTCCACGTTGCCTAATAGCTTATTGCTACAGAAGGTCAAACCCGTCCATAATGTCTCACAATTTTTTATGAATCTGCAGCTGAACAGTACTTGCTTTCGGCATTATAAGGGGACTTATCAGCGCTTAGGCGAGGTCGACACGGTCGACATGTTTCCTCGGCTGCTTGAAGCTGCGACAACAACGACGTCGCTCCAGTCGCAGCTTGCTAAGGGGAGGGGCCTTTTTCGATGTCCCTCCTCAAATATATACATGGAGCCATCAATCGACAAGAGCTCCTGAAGCTCTATATGGAAGAATTAGAAGACAGTGTCCAGAGCCGATTTGGCCGAGTGTTTCTTGTAGGCGAAGGAAATAAGCCACTTCCTTATACTTCAAACGTGGATGCTAATCATCATTACGAAATGGCAGCAGTGATAAAGAACGCAATTCAGGAAGGCAAGGAGAATATGAAAGGAAGATCTTTTGTAGCTTTGAAATCGAGAGTCAAGAATATAAAGAGCAAGAAGAAAGGCCGGCCGCTGAGATGAATTCTGTAAGAGAAGAAAATGAGAAGACGTGGTAGAGATGTACCTTCACACCTTGTTAATTTGTTTTTGTTTTGTTTTAGCTTTCTGAGCTATTAATTTCGTTTAGGTCATTGTTGCTTCTTATTAATTGTTGTTGTTTTATATTTTTTGCTTTACTTATTCTTATGGGTTCAATTACCCAGGTTTGAGGTAACGAATAAACGATTACTGAGTAACACTTATTAAAAGATCCGCGTGGCAAAGTCAAGTAACCACATGATCAAGGCTAGTCACTGCGGCCTAAACAGGACAAAAACAACAGAAGAAACTGATATTAAGCTCTGTTCTATATTTCTTTACAACTGTGACTGACAAATGGTACCTGAAAAACAGTGCTGATTAAAATCAGTTCACTAAAAATGTGTAGTAATTTTTGTGCATTATACCTAGCTCAGGACGACCTGTGTGCATTCACGCATATGTATTCCGAATCTTCCTCACGAACAGAACTTTATTCTCATCGTCATAGCTTCTCTTTGCTTGCTCTTCACTTTCCTGTCCTTGTCTGCGTTTAATGATAA